CATAATTTTTAAAAAAAAATTATAAAAATATTGACGATCAGCGGCGATACTAAAAAGTCACTGCTAATTCTTTAATTTCAGTGGTGACTTGTATGTTGCCGCTAAAACTTACAACATAATTTTTTAAAAAAAATTATAAAAATGGCCAAATCTTTTACATTTATAACAAACTATTTCTATTTTATCTTTTTTAAAATTATCTTTTCTAAAGGTTTTTCTATGTTTTTTCAGGAAATATTTTTTATGTCTCATATATCTTTTATAAGAATATTATATATAATTTTTTTTTTATTTTTCTTAGAAGGGGCTTGTATTTTCCTAACTCTAGTTTTTTCTTATTTTGTATCACTATGTATTTCTTTTTACATTTTTATTTCATTGCATAACTTTAATCCGATGATATTTATAATATTAATTATTTGTCCATATTTTAAAATAGTAGAATTTATTGTTCTTCATTATAACTAGTAAAATAAAAGCTGAAGAAAATATAGAAAAAGAAATAGAAAATGAAATAGATAACACCCACTTTGAAATAAATCAACAAAGATACATGAACATAATATCACATATAACTTATAAAAAAATGATATTGCCAAGTAAGTTTAGTAACAAACAGAGAATATTCAAAAAATATAATATTCAAAAATCCTATGAAAGAATAGGGAAGTTAGGCAGTGGTGTTCCTATTAAGTTTAGGAAGAACAATATCAATAGAAAATAAAACTTGTAAAAATAGAAATATGAGATGGTTCGATAAGATATTAGGATCTAAGTAAAAAAAAGAAGAATAAGATAAGTCTTAAGAGTCTCAGTCTACAGCCAAATAGGAATAGTGAACTTGAACGAGAAATAAAAGAGTAGAAATAAAGAAATACATTATAAAAGAATTGAAGAACAAATAGAAATCCCAAAAATAAAAAATAGAATAAATTAAATAAGAGAAAAATTTGAAAGAGATATTTGTGCAGAATATTCAAATTCTTTCTGAAATAGAAAAGACATAAGAAATCACGGGTGAAAAACAAATATGACAAAAGAAGAAAAAGAAAAAGCAAAAGAAAAACAAGAGTTGAATCTTGTCAAAAAATAATTTAAGCACAAAAAAGGGTAATTAGGTGAAGCAAATCAAAAGAGCTAATTTAACCATGATTTTTCTAAACTTCTATAAAATCCAAAGACTTTTAATTTTTGCAGGCATTGAGTTAAATGGCCCCTTTTCTATCTCTTAATATAAACCTCTCTCCAGTTGTAATATTACAAGATATGTATGTATGTGTATCTATACATACATACATACATACAACTTGGTTAAATAAATAAAAATGGAAATAAATTGAAATTTAAATAAAAAGAACATCATGAAATTGGTAAAACAAAAATATATTTTTTCCTATGGAAAATACTTTAATCTAATTTTGAAAACACAAAAATTAAACTTTTCATAAAATTTAATTTCGAAAGCGTAAGAAATATCACTAAAAAAAATTATAAAAATGTTGACAATCAACGGTGATACTAAAAAGTCACCGTTGATTCTCGACTTTCAGCGGTGACTTGTATGTCACCGCTGAAACTTACAACATCATTTTTAAAAAAAATTATAAAAATATTAACAATTAGCGGCGACACTAAAAAGTCACCGTTGATTCTCGACTTTCAATGGTGACTTGTATGTCGCCGATGAAACTTACAATATAATTTTCTTAAAAAAATTATAAAAATGTTGATAATCAGCGACGACACTAAAAAGTCACCACTAATTCTCAACTTTCAGCGGCGACTTGTATGTCGCTACTGAAACTTACAACATAATTTTTTAAAAAAAATTATAACATATTTTAAAATATGTTAACAATCAGTGGCGACATTAAAAAGTCACCGCTGATTCTCAACTTTCAACGGTGATAATAAACATCACCGCTGAAAGTGTGACTTTCTACGGTGACATGCACTTGTCGTCGCTGAAAGTGTGACAATCAGTGGCGATTATATCTTGTCGTTGCAGAAAGTCACTATTTCAATGGCAACTTCAAATGTTGTCGCAGAAAGTCACACTTTCAGCAGTAAATTTTACTGTCATCGTTGAAAGTTGAGAATTAGCGATGACTTTTTAGTGTCACCACTAAAAGTTATTCTTTTTGTAGTGCACCTCGCATAATTTATAGTGGAGAACTATATATATCACTATACTCCCATTTTGGATCTCCAACATACACAAGTGAAATAGTAACGGAGAATGCAATGTTACCTTTCCTTTCATTAGCCGTTGCTGGATATCAAGTTTCACTTATCAACAATGAAGATGAAAAAATGCAGAAACAGAAAGCTCCTTCAGAGAATAAACATTCAATTATCATACCTATAATCTCTGAGTTCAAAAGGGTCCACACTAATGCAAAGCTGGCTCATGTCATTTCTTGCTATTTGGACTCTAACTCATCTAAAAGATCAGTGTCTCTGGGTAATCCTTTAACATTGTTCGCTTCTATCTACATTCTGCATCAAAGATTTTTTGAGTACATCATCTATACCTTGTGTTAGCTTGTCCAGATGTGAGTGGATTTAAACTGTTCTAAGAAGTCTCACTTTGAATAAAGTTAGAGTTAATAAATAATATAAAATAAAGAGAAAGGATCTCAAACCTTAGGAGTTTTGAATTAAGATATAGTATTGTTTTGGCCATACTTGCTTGTCCCCCTCAATTCTTAACAAGTGATAATAGGCTAAGGTCCCATATCAAATAAAGTTGGGGTTAATAACTATATATATTAAAAAAAATGATACTCTTGCTTGTTTCTTTCTCCCTTGTTTCTAACTCTTTTTGATAAATGGTCTTCACTTTACAAAAACTTGACTTTCAGCAGGGACATTTGTCGCCACTAAAAGCTAAAAAGTCACCATTGAAAGTTTTCAGCAGCGATAAAAAGTCACAACAATATTTCTGCAAGAGCTCTTGTCGCTAATTCAATCTACGATGATAATAAAAGTTGCCACTAAGAGTTGAGAATCGATGGCTGCAAATGTCACTATAGAAAAGAAAATTTGTCGCCGCCAAAAGATAGTTGCCATTGAAAGTTAAAAATCAACAGTGACATTTTGTTGCAGTAAAAACCACACATTAGCGGTGACAAAATAGTCATCGCTGAATGTTAAGTATCAGTGGTGACATTTATCACTACGAAAACTACCAATCAGCAATGACTTTTTTGTCACTGCTGAAAAGTAATGTTGGTTTACTTACACACATGGTGCCATATCACTGTCCACGTGGTGCCTCACCTCATACCACGTGGCACCACGTCACCCTCCACATAGGGTCCCACTTTGCACTACTTGGTGCCATGTCACCCTTACCTCACGCCACGTGGTGCCATGTCACACTTCATGTGTCACTCCCACCACACGCCACATGTTATTACATTACCAATTTATATTTCCATTTTGAATGTTGTCTCCTCCAAGGTTTGAACCCATGACCACCTCCTTTTGTGTTCAACCATTTTGCCACTAAGATAGAATGAACCTATAATCTATTGTTGCATAATTATATATATATATATATATATAATATTAAACTATACAAACACACACATATATATATACATATTAAAGATTAAATATTATAAAATATCATTACTATCCTTAAATACTTCAATTTAATTCTTTTAATTTATAAAATTGCAAATTATATTATTTATTTGTTTAAAGTAAACTATAAATATAATTGATACTATATCATTTGTATTATTTATTTTAATTTTTTTACTTCTTGAGGTTATTATATTATGTATTTTACCATCCATATTTATAATTATAATATAGAAAGTATCTAAGAATAAATAGTAAAAATATTAATGATTATGCATTAGTTTATAATTGTTAATTTTTTTTAAATGGCATCAAGTTTTAAAGTTACTGGTATTAATTGTCGAGTTTGAATTGAAATATTAGATTAGATGAAATATCATTATATGAATGAATAAATATAAATATCACATGTCTAATTATTATAAACAAATAGTGTTATTGACTTCTTCGTTAATCCCATGGCTTATCCTTTCTCTCTCTTCTCTTCTATCTTGAACATTTAAGATTTTTAACTTATTAATTATAATTTTAAATTTAAGTTTTTTAGTTATTAATTAGTCAAAAGAATATATATTAAAAATTTCATGCTTATTTTGGCCATTAAACATCTCAATTAGCTTTTGAATAATATTATCCAAACAAATTTCAGTTTATTTAATTGACTTTTAAAAAAAATCTAAACATAAATCATATTACATTTACTGACTTTTCTTCTAATCTTAATTTGCTAACCTTAGTTGAATCTTAACCTCAGTTGTAAATTTTTAATCCAAGCACACACGTAAAATAATATAATTTAACTTAATTCTTTACTCTAGCTCATTAGCATTAAATAATACTTTAACCTTATCTTAAAGTTATAATTTAACCATAGAATATATTAAATAAAAACTCATTATGTTATTTTATATATTCATTATAAAATTATAATAATACAACAAAATTAATGTCTTAAAATATTAAATATTAGATAAATAAGAATAAAAAATTATGATGATAATACAAAATCAAATTTTCATTAGTGACACTAAAAAGTCATCGCTAATTCTCAACTTTCAGTGGTGATTTATATGTCACCGCTAAAACTTATAACATAAGTTTTTTAAAAAATTATAACATATTTTAAAATATGTTAACAATCAGTGGCGACTCTAAAATATTATCGCTAATTGAAACTTTCAGTAGCGACTTATATGTTGCTGCTGAAACTTAGACCTTCAACGATGACATGGACTTGTTGCTGCTAAAAGCCTGATAATCAGCGGTGACTTCAAATGTCACCGCAAAAAGTCACACTTTCAGTGGTGACTTTTACTATCGCCGCTAAGAGTCTTTTTTTTTTTTTTGTAATGTATAGGCATGCAGGGTATCCTGTTAATCATGAAATCAACTATGGGGCATTGATGAAGTTGATATGTTTTCGCTTAAACAATGCAGGCTGTGTGTATTAAATTGGTTTGCCAAACTCTGGGAAATCGAGAAGAGTGAGTATTGGGGATACGTTACAAATGGTGGAACTGAAGGCAATCTTTATGGAATCTTGTTGGGGTCGGTATTGCATGCGATTTTCAATTATATTAAATTAAAATAAAGATGATAATATATATTATACACTATTTCCTTTTTAAATTAACATAAATTAAAAATACAATAATGAAAATGATGTAAGTATCATAAACTCACAGGAGGGAACTATATCCAGATGGAGTTTTGTACATATCAAAAGAATCGCATTATTCACTGCTCAAGATAGCAAGAATATCTAGAGTCAAGTGTGTGATAGTTGGGACTAGACCCTCTGGTGAGATTGACTATGATGAATTAAAGGCTTCACTTCTTGCTCACCAGGACAAGCCGGCCATCGTCAACCTAAATCTGGGTACTCTCTCTCGATCTCTTCTCTCAATGTCAATATATATTGTTTAAATGCAACATCTGTTTTCCTTTTGGTGGTAAAACTATAAAAGGAGGCATTGATGACCTTGATCTTGTACCACAAATACTTAAGGACTGTGGCTTCACACAAGAACGATTCTACATTCAATGTGATGCAGCTTTATTTGGAATGATGCTCCCATTTATTAACGGAGTGAGTAACAATTTAACTAAAAATATCTAACCTACAACAGTATATGTTAACAATTACATAAATTATTAGTATTAATATCATAATGATAAATAGTTATAAATACTAAAAATGATGTGCATGGTTTGATTGTTAATTTACTCTATCTCAAAAGATCCAGATAAAGAAAAGAAGTTATGCAGAACCGGATTCCCCCCATTATTCTTATATATCCTCAATAAAAGATTTGTTCAAATTTTAAATCCCTAATGCATAACCTTACATATGTGGTATAGTTAGCTTAGTGAATTGAATTAAAAACAACTTTTGAATTAATTCTATTTAACTTATGTATAGGCACTACAAATTTCATTCAAGAAACCTATTGGAAGTGTAACTGTTTCAGGCCATAAATTTCTTGGATGTCCAATCCCATGTGGTGTCCTGATAACTCATTTAAATTATGTCGAACTTCTCTCTAGAGAAGTAGAATACATTGCTTCGAGAGACACTGCCATCTCAGGAAGCCAAGGAGGCCATGCTTCAATTTTCCTCTGGTATGTTCCCGATAAGAGAGGTTTTAATGGCCTTCAAGATGTGAATGAGTGCATCAACAAAGCGATCTACCTTCAAAATTGCTTGAAGGGCTATGGAATTGGAGTCATGCTGAACAAGTTTAGCAATATCATAGTATTTGAGAGACCTCTTGATGATGCATTTGGTCATAAGTGGATTCTAGTTAATGAAGGGAAAATGTCAGGCATAGTGGTGTTGCAACATGTGACCATGGAAATGCTGGATTCGTTTGTGACAGAGTTTGTGGAGAATCCATTAATTTGGTATCAAGATAATGAAGGCAAGAAAGCTCCCTGTATTGCTAAAGATATTTGTGCTAAGAATTGTGCTTGTTCTTCCCATAAGAAGCTAATTTCATGATGATAAGATGGTGTCACTTGGTATATTCCAGTTTGATTCTTAGCTAAATTCATTATTTTTCCAGTGTTTCGATTCTATTTTTTGTCAATCGGTTCTTGTCTTTCAAGTATTTTTCACAAGTGGGTAATTTACACCTTATAAATTGACTCTGAGGTGTATTTATATGGTATTGTAGTGTGAGATTCTCAAAGTTGGTTCATTTTCGGCCTCTCCATCTTGTTGCTTGCATGATTGTCTTAATAATGAAAACAAAAAATCATTGAGGAAGGTAAATAACTTGTTGAGTCGTAATTAGAAGAATGATTATGTGCATGTTTGGTTTACATTCTAACCTCTATTAGAGTGAATCAAACTGAGGTTAGAGAGTAAAAAAGTTAAAAAATAATGTTTGGATTAACAAAATATACCAACCTCAGTTAGAGTTAAACGAGCGTTAATTTAGAAGCTATCAACAGTGGCTTTTTGTCTTGCGTTGCGTTGATCTAGCCGTTGGGAAGCATTGATTAGCTTTTAAATTTTTGTGCTTTCTCTTTCCTCTCATTTATCTAACCCATGAGCATGAGCTCTGCTTTTCATTCCACTGTGCTTTCTTCTCCCGTGACCTCGCAAGCTAATACTGAAGAACCAGATTGCAGCTTTACTTATAATGATTCAGATTATTTTCCAAAATTGAAGACAAAAATAATGAAAGTGTGTCTAATGGTTTCTGGTAAATCCTGGATTCGCATCTTTGAAAAGCTAAGATTGATGAAAGCCAAGCTTCCATCTTCATCACCACTGCCAACACGATGCTTTTCGCAAATCAATTGTGTGTAGAAGTGAGCAGAGAGAGAACAAGTATACGAAGTCCAGAGAGCAATCCAAGGCACACCATACTCTTGAGCAAGAACAAGAGATGAAGTCACGAAAGCATTAGAAATCACATACGTCACTCTCAGATTCCTTTCTGAAACCACCATACTTAGGCCCTGTTTTAGGTTCTGAGGACCAGCTTTAAGAGAGAAGTTCAGCCTCCGAATGGGTGGTGGTTGGTGAGGTCGAGACCGTCAGGGATTTCATCGGAGACAGTGTAAAACTTTAGGGAGGGTGTTGCTGAGTTTAAAAGATAAGAGGGAATGCTTGCTCTGTAGGGTGGTGAAAATGGAGAAGCTCATATGAGGAGCAGCAATGACAAGGTTAAGCAGAGGAGTGGTATGAGTGGCGTAGGGGAAGGTAAAGACTGCCACGTGTCTGCTCCGATCGAGCAAGGCTCCACTAATGGTGGTGGCTATGGCTGAGAGTAGAACAGAGGGATGAAGACAACTACAATAAAAAGGTGGCTTTCGTTGAAATGATATTGGCACCATGCTGGGTTTGGTCCTATTTATAAGATTTTGTTTTTGTAATATTTATACTTCATGTCTTTAACTTTTTATTGCAAATTTTTTCTTTTACTTTCTTGTGAACATGATGAAAAAAAGTGCCTTATTAGAACATGTAACTTATGAGGTTAGACTTAATGGGAGGAATTAATTCCTTATAATATAATAAATTAAATTTTAAATTCTCTTAAGAAAAGAGATACTCATATTTAATGATAAAAAATGCTTCGGACATAATTGTTTTCATTAGACATGTAAGCAATAAATAAATAAATATATAATATAAATAAAGATGAAAACTTATTAGAATTTTAGAGAGTTAACTAATTTTAAAATCTTAATTAATTGTGAAGAAATTTGTTGAGAGTCATTTATAAATAATATTGAAATGAAAATGCATATATTTATTAATAGATCATAGGTGCCTGTTTACTTTTTATTAATTAAAATGCATATATTTATTAAAAAAATTTATGCTTATTTTTGCCATTAAATATCTCAACTAATTTTTAAATTAAATCATCCAAACAAATTTCAGTTTATCTAACTAACTTCTAAAAAAAATGGTATCCAAACATAAATCACATTACATCAACTGACTTTTCTTCTAACCTCAGTTTGTTAACCTTAGTTGAATCTTAATCTTAGTTATAAATTTTTTAATCCAAACACACCCTATGTTTGAAATTATATTTTATCCCCAATTGGTCTCTAGATTCAATTCTACAATTCTCATGCTAGTGTCTATTAGTGGCTAAATTAAACTTTATTGTTGAGCGGTAAGTTATCCTAAAATATGCTCACTATTTTGTAAGGATTCACAAATTTAAATTAGATTAAAATTAATAATAATATAATTTAAGTATACTTTTAAATAATTCACGGATGGATTTAACAAGTGGTTCCGTGGAAATTGTTCTAGGTGTGTACATCTAGGCCCTTGGTTCGAATCCTGGTGGTGTAAGATAGGAATTTCATTTTTGCCATAGCCTCTTAAATTACTCTTTTATCCTTAAAACAAATAAATAAATAAAAAGGCAGAGTCGGTTAGCAGAGGAGGAGAGAGTGAGATTGATCGAGAGGCTTCTTTCCTCCATAGTTCCTTTCCGTCTCCCATGCGATCGCCAGTAGTTGTGAGTGCGCCCGAATCTCATTCCTTTGTTTGTGTTGGGTGGGTGTGTCCTTTCCTTCCCCTCCACCTTCTTTGCCATGGTTGCCGACCCTCGCTATTGTGAGTGTGAACTAGAGAGAGGTCGAGTCTCTGTTCTTTTGTTCTTCTCAATCCATTTCTCTTGTGCATCGCCGCAGTGCATGAGTGGAGCTAGGCCAGCTGTTGAGTCCATCGCCAGTGTCCGTACCACCGTGAATCTATCGCTGTCGAGGCCGAACTTGCAAATTCATCTGCTCCTCTATTCATCCATTGGTCTTCTCTTCATGCGACGGTGATGCCTGAATCTTTCTTCCTCCTTCTCTGTTAATGCGTTGCCATGGGACCATCTCTCGTTTGTGTTGTTTGTGTGGATGTTCCAAGATCTTCTTCTTCCTCCTTCATTCTATGTCCTGCTTTCTCCATTTTCACTTGACTAGAACCTCCTTTTGTTTTGCTCTGTCATGATCACACTTGAGTTAGGGAGGTTCAACTTTTTCTCTTCATTTTTTTATTGCATTGGTGGCAAGTCAAGATGCATCTTTCTTCTTTTATTTTGTATGTGCATTTGTGTGACGTGGCTAAAAATGGGTTTTTATTTTCTCCCCTTAAATTGCAATTGTTATGTGTGTTAGAAGGATAATCAAATTAAAGCTTGAGTTTAAGAACATGATTTTTGATAGATAAATTTACTCATGCCAGATGAATTAGATTAAATTTTTCCTTAAAGTTCAATTGAATATTTTTTTTTTTTGTTAAAGGATTTGAATTTGGGATGCTAATTGATTTAAATATCAATGTTTTAATTTGTGGGAGATGAGATTGAAAGGAAAGAGGCTTGGTATTCGTTTGAGAATTAATGGATAAAACGGTGTTTGACAAAATGACTATTAGAAGAAGTTTTATTTGATTTTTTTTATTTTTTTTTTTGAAATTTTATTGAATCTTGGGAGTATCATGTTTAGTTTTGGTTGTTATTTCTCTACGAACTTAAATTATAAAATCAGCATGAACATATTTGAATTATTGAGAGTGGATGGTTATTGACAAGTTATTTGGTAAGAGATTTTTAATGTTACAAAGCTTTATTGTAGAGTTTGGAAATGAGGTATATTGGGTGCTTTGTCAAAGATAAAGAGGAGATGATATTTTAATGGAGTAATTAGCTATGGCTATTCAGGAATTTTTATGTGTTAAGTATTGATGTTAAAGTGGTAATAATGTTAGAGGGAAACTATTAAATTCGTTGAAAGCCTGTTAAAGCCTTACTATATTTTATAGGATATTTAGATGAGGTGAATTTTGAATTCTAGGAGTACTTTAAGTAAGTCGATAACGTCCCAACTGATTTATCAATTAAATTTATTTTTTCAAGATATTTTTGTTACACAGATCATTCAATAACAATTATATAACGTATTTAATACTTTATTAATTAAATTATATTTACCTTGTGAAATGGTAAAGAGATGTTGAAGGATATTTGAATTATAACATGTATGTGTTTTTTTCTTACAAAGAATACTTTCAAGATTGATGAAATTATTTTATCAGCTTTGGTAATATTGGTTTCCCAATAAATGCAATCTTGGACATCAATTATGAAATTTTACTCTGGCAAGTTTTATTGCTCAAAATTTTTCATGCGAGTTTGATTTTGAGAATGAAAACTATATTTTGATAGTGATGACTTTCTTGCATGTTTAAAAATAGATTTAGAGGGAATTTTATATAGAATACTAGTTGCTAATGGTAGTTCCGTTAGCCGTTGGCGCGCCATGGTTGATGACTAGCTAGTTTGATTTTCATAAGTTCCGTTCTCATGTTTGTTATTCGTGGGTCTCATACTCATGTTTGTTTCATGGTTTCAAGCTGCATTTGGTTAGTATTACTCTCATGGACTGTGTATTCACATTTGTTTCGTGACTTCGGCTGCATTTGGTTACTTATCCTCTTGGATTGTGTGTCCATGTTTGTGTTTGTGGAATAAGCCACGTTTGATTATTTGCCCTCGTGGACTGTGTGTCCACGTTTGTGAATTAGTCTGATAAATCCCTAGAAATTTAAATTTTTATTTAACTAATGATTTTACACTCTAATGGTTTTTAATTAGCAAATGTCATTATTTTTATTTATACATTTAATTAATTATTTTGATTTGTCAATATCAAATGTTAAAGCTACTTTATTATTATAGATCTAAATGTTATTATTATAAAGTTCTTTAAAATTTCTATTCCAAGTTTACAAATTTGTTACATGAAATTATTTTCTCATTTAATTCATGTAGTGGTTATATTTTATTCATTTTGATTCTACAAAATATTATGGCTAGGATATTATTCATTAGAAAAGTTATTTTGGTCTCAGATAGCGTAACTGATACTATACGTCCTACTTTTCAATGAGGAAATTTCTGCTGAGCTTAGTGAAGATTTGTTCTGTAAATATTTTCTACTGATGTAAATATGAATTTATGAATTATGTCATGA